TGGCATGACCCTTCTTGCAACAATGTAGACAATCCAAGGTTTGAGGAGAATTACTTTTGCTATATTGATCCCTTATCTCATAAGTGTATTTTTTATAAAGGTTATTCATGCTACTTCTAAAATTTGATCGATTAATAACATAAGTAATTTTAGGTTATAAAGCCTTGTCTAGTTTAGCTTTAAGAGTTCTAACCTCTCTTTGCCAAATATGACAAGTTTCACATCAAGCCCATGTAAACCAAAAACCTTTGTCATTTTCCCTTTTGCCTTTGATAGCTTCTACCATAGATTCCTTAAGAGTTTCCAATTCCTTTTCTGAATCGGAAACCTTATTCTCAAGGTATGAAAATAATTTCTTATTTGAGGCCAATAATTTAAAAACTTCCTTAACCTCATTATGTATAATATCAAAGGCTTTTTGCAATTCAATGTAAAACATTTCATCAACATGATCATATTTAGAATGAATTACATTTTTTTCTTCTTTTGATGGGCCATAAGACAAAGGTTGACAATTTCTTCTTCATCACTAGAGTCGCTTTTGCTTGAAGCTTCACTATCGCTCTCCCACATAATATATGCTCCACTAACTTTATTTGATCTCTTTTGATATTGGTCTTTTCCTTTGTCTTTCTTGAGCAATGGGCAATCTGTTTTGTAGTCACCGATTTTCCATAATTGTAACACGATTCTTTTGACTTAGATTTCTTACTTTCATCTTGCTTTGAGGGTTTAGATTGATGTCTATAGTTGATGAGGTTCTTATCTGAATGTTGGACTTCATTCTTTCGGAGATACATATGATACTTTCTCACAAATAACCATATATCTTCATTTGAACTTCCATCATCATCACTAGAATCACTTCCACACGAATCGTTTGTGGATGACTTGGAGCTTGAAGACTTTAACGTTATAGAATTCTTTTCCATGTCCCTTGATTTTTCTTTCTCTTCCTTCCTTTCGTGTTTATTGAGATTTATGAGCTCTTACTCATGTTCTTTAAGCTTACCAAACAATGTTGTAACATCAAGTGTCGTTAGATCATTAACTTCCTTAATCGTTGTGATCTTAGGTTGCCGCAGTAGCAACAACATTGGAAGTGTTATGACCAAGTGTATGTAAGCGATTGAATATATGAGTGAATCTCTTTTTCATGTCCATAATGGTTTCATCATGTTTCATGTGAAAGAGATCGAACTCTTGAGTCAAGGTATTGATTCTAGCTGATTTGACATCATTAGTTCCCTCATGGGTAACTTGTAGTGTGTCCCACATTGCCTTAGAAGTAGCATAATGGGAGACTCTAAAATACTCACCGACACCTACAGATGATATGAGCATATTTAGCTTTCCAATCATAGCTATAATTTTTCTCATCGTTCTCTTCCCAAAGTGCTTATGGTTTAGGTATGGTGGCGTTAGCTACATCGATAATGGTTATTGCTATATGACCATTCTCGATGAATTTCCATATTTTTCTATCAACATAATTGATATGCACACACATACAATCTTTCCAATAACTATAATTTTCACCGGTAAAAATAGGCGCTCTATTGTATGCCCCTTTTGGATCATTATTCATTTTCTAAAAAGTTATATGTGAAGCACTAGATAAATCGGTGCTCGTGATACCACTTGTCAAACGATGAGACGGATCTAGAAGGGGGTGGTGGGTTGAATATATCCTTTATTTAAAAATCTGCACTTTTAAAATTTGTTTTAAAATGATAAGAAAGCTTCCCGAATCAAAATCGTTTAAATGATATGTTCTTGAAAAGATCGAATATGCAAAATTGTATGGAGATTTAATGATGAGAAATGAATGAATACTATTACTTACTAATCAATCACTTAAAGAATATCAATGAGTATATACTACTTCCAATTAATTATTTAAGATAAAATTTGACAAAATCACTAATTTGTGTGTTAGTCAATTTATCAAACACTTGGTGTGCAAAAACACAACAAGTTCAATTTTACTTAATTGTAGTGATGAATTCTCCTTGATAAAAATCAAAATGATTGTTATGACGATGTAAACTGAGTTTGAATCATTACAATCACGGTAAAATGAATTGAACAATCAATATCATACAAATTATAGCAAATGAAAATAAAAGGATATGGAAAGAGAAACAACAAGTGATTTGTTAAGGCAATTCCCCTTGTCGTCCTCGCGTAGGGAATATCTACCTCAAATTCTAAAATATAGAATTGAGATATATGATATAAAGTTGCAAAGTGTTACAAGAGAAGCAATAATCTTCACTACATAAAAACCAATTGTTGATGATGAAATTATTCCCTTCTCTCCCCTTGGTTCAAACCAAACCAAGTATGCCATCTCTTCGAACAAACCTCTGGTTACCGCTACATGATTAAACGAACTCTTTGTTCTATAAATCTTTTACTCGACTGATTCCAATCACAAGAAATTTGACCCCAAATCTTTCTTCATAATCCTCCGGTTATCGCTACTTGATTGAGCAAACCCACCGTTTCTCAACTCTTTCACTCGGCTGAATTTAATGAAGCAAAGACTTGTGCAAAACCCCCGCACTAAACAGAATCTTGGAGGACAAAACCCTAATGGTTTTATTCAAGAAAAAATTCACTCAATTCTCAACCTAAATCTGAAAACAATCTTCAATTTGAACGTTATCACCACAACTTTGCACTTTAATCAACATAAATTATCATGTGTAATTGTTGATGAATGCTATGAGAGGATGAAGGTGATGAGAAGTTGGCGTATATCTTTCACTTTTTCATATTTCTCCAAATGATGAAAGCCAATTAATACACACACACACACACACACACACACACACACACACACACACACACACACACATATATATATATATATATATATATATATATATATATATATATATATATATATATATATATATATATATATATATATATATATATATATATATATATATATATATATATATATATATATATATATATATATATATATATATATATATATATATGTGTGTGTGTGTGTGTGTGTGTGTGTGTTACCAAATAGTCAAGACCAAAGATGTAGCAGAAAATAGAGTGCAAGAAGCGGGTGGTCGACTCATGCAGAAGTCACACTCGACGCGAGCACACCCAATCATTGTAGGAAGACCTTTGAGGAAGCAATGCGTCGACCACAATAGGACACGAGTCGACGCAAACAAAAATAATTTTTCTTCCAATGTGAGTTGACCAGAAGGGTCGATGCGAGCAGAGCAAGCTTGATGGATTAATCTTCTTTAATTTATGAGTCGACCTATCTTTAGCTTGAGTCGATGCAAACAATGGGAATTTTTCTCCCAATGTGAGTCGACTAGTAGGGTTGATGCAGGAAGATCCGAGCTTGATGGATTAATCTTCTTCAAGTTATGAGTCGATCTTACTCTAGCTTCAGTCGACGCAAATAGTGAAAATCTCCCAAAAATGAATGTTTCTAGAGATCTTTATTCCAACCATTCCACTAGCAAGTTTGTCCATATAACCAACCTAGATCAAGAGCAAGCAATAAACATTTTGACATCATTAAAACAAATATAGAAGGACCTTGCCCTCACAACATATTCAGACAAAGGGGAAGTATAATTTGGCCTTCAAAGGCTTATATTTACTCCATTCCGAGCCATTATTCTTTCGACCATGGCTGCTAGATTATTTTCTCCTAGGTATTCATCTTGCTGAACACGGTTAAGAACTTCGTCAGCGTCCTGATTTTGATTGACCATTATGACTCTTAGGGCTTCAACTTCCCTTGGCATGGTTTGTTTGATCCTGGGTTGTTAGACTTTTTGCCCCTGATTGACTTCGCCCATATTTTACGCAGTTGGTTGCGCTTGGATGATTGTTGGGTCATCTTCGACTACTAACCCCTGGTTTTCTCTCATCCAATCTCGACGAGTTTGTCGAACTGGGACTTGAGAAGCGCTAAAGGAATGTGCAACTCACGCCATTTGCGCTGCCAACTGCTGATTCGTCAAGATATTTTGTTGGTTGGTCTTAAAAAGACTAAATTAGAAGGGGATTTAAATCTTAAAAAAAAACTAAATTTAGGGACACAAATCGGGATTTTAAAATGAAGGGATCAAAACTATAAAAAAAATTAAAATATGAAGACCAAAATTGTAATTAAACCGTTACAAACTTATACATTGTTTCTGTCCACATTGCATGTAGAGAATTTTTTAGAGATACATATCTGAAAACTGCTATTTCGAAGATGCATATCGAATAAATCCCAAATATATTCGTAGATGCATCTTCAAACTAAATTTTAATAAAAACAATTTATAATATATTTAAATATACAATATTTATAGACTTAAAAAATACAACATTGATATTCATAAACATTTGAACTTGTAAAAGAAAGTTCAAAATTCATTTTAAAATAATTGATAACTCACTTATTACATAAGATTAACATAACCCACACAATGATTTAAAATCCAATTTGAATTTAAAAAATGGTCATTTTGCATTATGGTTTAATTAGAATACATGAATTACAATTGGTCTAACCAATTTCCATTTTTTATATCATTTATTAATTTTTAATATTTACTTTTTTTACTAAGTATTTATTTACTATATAGGAGTATAATTTAATTATAGTTCAACTCCTTGAATCATATCCCATAGGTCTTTTAATCTAATTTTTAAATATCCTAACTTCTTAAGCATCATTCAAATATATTTTAAAATAAGGTCATCGATCCGCGACATCGTTTACTCAAAGAAAGATCGTGACCGTCTACCATCGTGTCCTTATATGAAAGTAACGGATTAAAATAGTTCCACGCCATCGATCCGCAACGAACTTCACTAGCCAATAGAAACACGAAAACCATATTATATATTTATCACACCGCTTCATCAATTGTAAAATATCCTAGTTTCCTTCATCTGATTATCAATTCCCAATTCGAAACCCTATATTTTTTCGAAGTTTCCCAATCCTTTCAATGGCGCCAAAGGGAGAGAAGAAACCAGCGGAGAAGAAACCCGTTGAGGAGAAGAAGTCGACTGTTGCCGAGAAGGCTCCTGCTGAGAAGAAGCCAAAGGCCGGGAAGAAGCTACCTAAGGATGGTGGTGCTGCCGCCGGAGGCAAGAAGAAGAGAAACAAGAAGAGCGTGGAGACGTACAAGATCTACATCTTCAAAGTTCTGAAACAAGTTCACCCAGACATTGGTATCTCAAGCAAGGCTATGGGTATAATGAACAGTTTCATCAACGACATCTTCGAGAAGCTTGCTGCTGAATCTTCAAGACTTGCAAGGTACAACAAGAAGCCAACCATCACCTCAAGGGAAATTCAAACTGCGGTCAGACTTGTTTTGCCCGGTGAATTGGCCAAACATGCCGTATCGGAAGGAACCAAAGCTGTAACTAAGTTTACAAGTTCTTAAACTTGAAACGTTTTCAATGGTTTTCTTGGATCTTTGCTCTCTGGGTGATGTATCACTGTATCTGATTTTAGTAATTGTTATGTTTTTAGATTGTTAGTTTTAAATTTGAAGTTATAATGAAATGGATCTAATTGGTCCTGTTTATCAAAATTAAAGAGTTAGAGATAATATTAGATTTCATAAATGGTTCCTTTTAGTTTCTAAAGATACAATTTTTCTTGTTTAGTGTATTTATCTTCGTATGGCGTTTTAGGGTCTTTTGCTTGACCAATAAGTGCGAGATACATGACCTTAGATGGTGTTCAAGATCCATGTTGAAGGAGCATGGAAAAATTAACATGTAAATTTTTTTGCTCCTCTACTCATGCAAATTCCTTTTCAGCATTGGCAAATGTAGACAAATGTTGATGGAAGAACGATTAGGATATTGAAAGGTTGATATTAGTTTACCAGTAAAATTCAGTTTGGTTTAAATATTACAAGGGGTGTAAAAACACTTTTAGAGTGTATAATTGATTCTGCAAGGATTTTTATATTTTTGGTTTAAAGTAGAATTGATTTGCCTTTAGAATTGAATTTGATTGAAATTAATATTTTATAATTTTTGTCTTTAGAATTAATTTGTATTAATTTTTACATTATAATTTATTATTCAATCTTTTATATAAATATATCTAAATATAAATTAATTATCAATTTTATCTAACACAATTTTAGTAGAATTAATTTTGTTCACGTCAATCCAAACATAGTCTTTATACAAGATAAACATAACTAATTTCTATGAATATGGATGGTACTTATATTTTTGACGAGACTATTGATAGAGATGGGAAAGGGACAGTGCATCGGGGTTTTTGAGGATTGAGGGAAAGACATCTGAAATTATTGATTGAGAAAAAGGAATCAACTTGCACACTATCTGATTGTCCCTCCCATGAAACAGCTTTGATCTTAGAATCAAATTTTTAAAGCAGTGGAGGTGCAAATCTTAAGGGATATGTGCAAGAAAATTTAACCTCCTACCCTTAAATTTATCTCCATACCCCTATAATTTATTAAAAATATCAATTTTATTTTTGTATATTTTTAACTAATTTACCATTTTATTTTAACTACTCATTTAAGACTTTTGAAAATTGCATCCTTACATACATGTATCAGAAGACTTTGAAAATAAGTTTTGATGCGTATTTTTTTTGTACTAAATCATTTTATAAAAGATATCAAATATGTATTTAAATAATTCTGAAAGACTTGCAAAAAGGGTTCTAATTTTGGCTTAAAAATGTTAGTGTATCATAACAATTGTCAAATGTGTTTGAGTTTATACATTTGTGTGTAACATAGTTCTTTTAAATAAGATATCAGATGTATTTTTGTGTGTATCACAACACTTATGTCTGGATGTCTGATCTGCCTCATCTACTAATCTCATTGGAGCGGCCCGTCCTAAACTATATTTTAGAATCCTACCATCATTGTCTCGTGTTCGCGCCACCGTAAAAATAATATAAAAAAACACAAAAATAAAAAAAAACTAAATCGGAACACATTTTAAAAGAGTTTCGGTGCATTAAATTTTCAAAAAACCAGAAAGGAGTTTTGATGAAGGTTTTTTCAAATCGGAAGACATTGTGAATTAGTTCCGATATGTAGCAAAAAAATCAGAAGACTTAGCCTCAGGGTTCTGGTGTAATTATAAAATAGGAGGTAAAGTTATCTTAGTTTTGACATAATTCAAAATATATATAATGAGAAAGTGCACTCACAAACTCTCCCTTTTCGATGATGGTAAAACTTATGACGATGTATTTTGTGTCTTCATGAAGGCCACTCCTGAATATGTGCATCTCAAATTTATCTTGCATATGCTTCACACCCTTTGACAACATAAAAAAGAGTCAAAGCAAGCAATGAGAAGTATCATATATCACACATATATCAATATATCACACATATGTGTTTGCAAAGAAAGAAAGTGCACTCACATGTATGAGAAGTGATGATTGGTCACCATTTTCACTGTATTTTTATCACTTGTCTGGTGATAATCCAGGTATTATGCACCGCTTTATTTCTTTTTGTGTTGTCATTTGAGTCGTTTTTATATTCTTTTAAATTTCTCTGCATTGTATGAGTTTTGAGTTATTTCAAGTTCTTTTTGCCATTTTAAGCGTTGGTATGTTGTTTGTGGATTGTCCTCAGGTTCAAGTTGAAGATCTACTGGACACGGGGTGAGAAAGTGGCGAGGACCCGAAAGTTCGAGGCAAAGAATATGGAAGATCAGTTGAGAAACACGGATGCCCGTGTCACAGAAAACAACCCGTGTTGTATTGCCTGCAAAATTAGAAGTCAAGAGAAATCAAGGGTGCAACACGGATGGTCGTGTCACCTGACACGGGCCGTGTTTCTACCCTTGGAACTTGAGAATAAAAATAAATCGTTGAGGGCCAACACGAGTGCATGTGTTCCCTAACACGGACCGTGTTGGCCAATGACGTTGATTCTGGTATTTTTTTTAATGATTTTTGCCCAAGATTGATCCGAAAAGGTGTTTTGGTACTTTCCAACTGTAATAAAGGGATGTTCATTATATAGAGATGTTTTCACGATAAAAACGGTACCTTTTCTTGCACACGACGAATTCCGAAGATTTGAGATTGGAGCTTATACAATTGTTGGAGGACGAAAGACTTTTCATTAGCGGAAGTCATTGAAAATCAAAGTTCACCACATCTTGTAATGTATATTTCTATTGAATCTGAATTTGTTTTGAACAATGTTATTAGTAGCTAAACCCCCCAATGCTAAGGGATTGTTCCTATTTGCCTTTATAATGAACTTGAATTCTTGATTGCAATATAATAGTTTCTTTTCAATTTAATTGTTCATTGTGTTTAACGCTTTCCTAATCGGACCAATTAGGATTGATTTATATTAACAATTAGGGTTGGAACGTCATTGTTAAGGTTTGTGTACGCTAAAAATATATTAGATATCACCTAAGACTAGTGATACCATATAGTTACCGGTGTAATCTTGATAAAGTTAAAGGCTTTGTGTCATCGTATTTTTCTAAGGACTTGGATATTAGGATGATTCACCAAAGGTTTTCCCACTAAGTACTTAGGGAAAAACAACCTAAAGATCCGGAAGTTGAAGGTTATAAACTTGTTGAAGAGATCAAAATGCAATGTCTTTACTGGACAAATCACACATTTACCCCTATAATAGTACCATACTAGTAAAAAAGCCATAATTTACATTCTATTTCATTTTTGTAATTGTAAGGATAAACTCGAAACCAAACCAAACGTTAAGTTTTTGTTTAATTGAACCACACATTAAATTCGGTACTTATACGCAGTCCTTGAGATTGATATTCGGGGAATTTCTCTACTATTACTACATTGGCAAAATAGTACACTTGCTATTTTTTCGATCAAGTGATGCAAAATTGAAAAATTATAAATAAGGAAATTCAAACAACATTAAAACGCCATTTCCACAAATTATCCCAATAACACAAACAAAACATAAAACATAGTTTGACTTCAATGAAGTTTCAATACATAAACAAAGAATCTGACATGAAAAAGACATAGATGCATAATGGCTCAAAGCATGAAATGCGTGATAGAAATATTTCAAAAAGATTGATCCAACATCATAACGACTCAAAACTTAAATGTCTCATATGACCTCTGTATATCAAGAAGAAAAGTTCAAAATGGTTAATGTGTGATAGTATACAAAAGGTACATAAAGTGACTGTGACCTCTACTCTTCTAGAGTGGTGCAAGGACATCTCTTTTGTACTTGACTGTGACTACTCTCATTATAACTGTTGAAAACCAACAACTAGATTTTTGATTTACATTTCTACCCTTTCAATGAATCTCTTTTATAAGCTATAAAAGGATGACTTGGAAGCTGAAGAAAAGTAACAAATTACACTACAATGGCAAATCTATTTATTCAAATCAAGCTCAACAAAACTACACGAAAACGATGTGCAAACTCTATAAAGAGATCATCTGGATATAGTTTTGTAAATAAGTAAGGAGATATTGCTCGTATCTTGCAGTAGAATACTTAGGTGTTCTTTATTGTAGTGAAAAGTTTGTGCAATCTGTTTACAAGAAGAAAATCTGTAATACACTAAAAGTACTCAACTGTTGTTGAATGATACCTTGAGAGACTGAGTGAAGGTCTGTGCTCAAGAAGACTCATGATGTGGCTTGAGTGGATTTACAGCAAGGATCGACGAACTTATTGGGGGTGTCAATAAGGTTGATCAGACTTACTGTGGGTTGTTATAGATTAAGTCCTTGTTGAAGGTAAAATCATCCTTGAGGGGGTGGACCGGAGTATCTTAGTTAACATTGAACCAGAATAAAAATCATTGTGTTTATTTACTGTTATGTTCTAAGCTAACTTGTTTCTCACACCTTCATCTTAGTGACATATTATTTTTCCTATTTATATGGGATGAATTTTGTGTGGTGTCTTAGTGGCGGACTGATTATATCTGGAGAATGTAGCTTTAAGAGTATGCATATCTTTGCATATAAACTGGGTAAGGTTGATTGGTAATGATTTTGACTTAACTTCTTTACGTGCTTTTGTTTTAAGCTTACGGTTCTGTTGTTAATAGTTTTGGTGAGTACTTTTGATTTTTTTTTCTTGGACATGATATGATATATTTATATTTTTATGATTTTAAATTCTTGTTTAGTTTATTTTGACATGAAATCTGACCTTTACAACCAATATTTTAAATACAAATGTGAAATTTTCAAGTGATTGATGTCTTGCTTGATGCGTGAATATTATTGCCTTAGAATCTGGCCTGGTTGTGAGCTTGTCAAATGCAAAAAATAGAAATTAGAACAACAACTTTAATAACCACAAGGCATTTCTTCGAAGCACTATTGCGCATAACCGAAAAACAGTCTTCAAGACAACTAATGATAGGACCTTTGTTCAGCATTTCA